TAGGTATTCACTGTATTGCAAAAGGATTTAGTGCACTAGTTAGTGATTTTTAAAACTTGTAGGTTTTTGATACGCAACTTGAAACGTACAGGGCTGATTTCTGTTTCATCAGTCAAATAGGGCATTATAGAAATTATTCTAATCACCAAGGAATTTAACAGGGAATAGTAAGAATTTGTAATTTGTCAACCAACTGGCTAAGAGAGGTGCATATTTTTTAGATTTTATATATAACTGGTTTCTCCCATATTTATATTTCCCCACTGTTTTATTGCTATTCTCTTTGAAAAAGCTGAGGTTATACAGTGAGATGGCTGAACAGTAGTGGTATAGTAATGAGACCAGTATCACCTACCTTTGTAATGCATTTAGCCTCTTTTCACAGAAAATCATATATAAAGATTACTGTCAAATTTAGAAGTACACTGGCCATATACTTATTAGATATTTTACAAATTCCTGTCTGAGTGCTCTTACTGTTGTTGACTGAAGATATTCTCGGTTAATTTATTCATGAAAAAAAAATCTACCTACATGTGCTTGCTACAATTCTAGTTACATTTAGCTACTGGCAAATTAGAGAAGTAGGCGTCAGTTGTAGATCACAGAACTGTGATGGAAAGATTTTTTGGGGGGGAGGCAGGTTAGGGGTTCTTCTGAACTGTTTTGTTTGACAGATTTTTCCAAGTGGTGTCTTTTAATTGAGCAGACATTGGTTGGATGTTATGTGAGTACCACTGAAAATGATTTTGTTATTTTTTTGTATCCAAGCATGAAACTTTTAAAAAGATAATTGCTGTTACTTATCTTTTTACTTTTTTATTCATGAAATACCTTATGGATTACATCTTTATTCCAGTTGGAAGTGTTAGTAATCAAGAAGCTACATTTAAATGCACCTTGTAACAAAACTGTCGTTTTCTTTTAGTAGCTTGTGCCCAGACTGCAGTTGGATTGTTGCAAATGAATGTGATGTAAAACATTGGTCTTTGTTTTATTTTTAGTTCTTAGAACTTTAATGACTTGAGCCCAATCTACTTTACGTAATGCTTATTGTTTTATATCCCCGATTGACAAATAAAACCAGTAAAATGGAAGCTGTTTATTTAAAGTCTGATCTTGAAATATTCCTAGTATTCTAGCCTGATTATACAAAAACTTTAATCATCTGCATAAATTTAAAAACCTAAGTAGGACCAGCTAACATGAATGGGACCACTTCTTTGTCTTTTCTTGCTAATATGTTATCCTGACTGCAGGATTAGGACAAGGATGTTTAGCACCATGCAGGTTCAAGCCCTTATCCCAACAGGAAAATATTAAGAGGATAGGAGGCAGGATCATACCCAATGAGGACCCGCAATTCCCATGTGCCCACAGCACATAATGATGCATCTTTTAGGAAGGGGCTAAAAAATGTTACTGCTTTTATGTTACCAATAGGGGTCTTTAATTAATTTCGTTCACTTAATACTGGTGCCTACACAAAGCCTCTGGGCTAGGGACAGAAGTTGCACATTATGCAGTTTAAGTGATCAGAAACTGGTTTAAACCTATAACAGAACAGAAGTTCAGAAACCAGTTTCAAAATGGCTGATTGAATATAGTATCAGGTTGAAGTGATTGAGTTCAAACCAGTTTATGGAACTTCTGTCCCAGACCCCTTCCTGGTTAAAGTTAAATCAGAGTCTCCCAGCATGCTCTGCAGCCCTGGGCTGGGTTGTGCTGTTTGCTTCAGCAGAGCAGGGCTGGCCCCACCCCTATGCTTTCTAGCCAGAGCAGGGGTGGAGGCATGGCCAGATGCCTGCCTGGCATGGCCCCCTTAGGTGAAAGGGGTAGAAAGGGGATTTATTCCCTCCTCTCTCCCTTCTCCCCCAGGAAGTTCAGCTGAGGTCTGCCTGGCTGGGGCACAGCAGCCCCTGCCAGGCATTTCTCTTCCCCACTCATTGCTGGAGCAGCAGGGGCTCTGGCCAGCCCTGGCTGTAGCCTCAAGCGAATGGGGGAGCAAAGGGGTTTAATTCCCCCTGCCAGCCAGGCAGGCTGCCAGTGGACTGTGTGCTGCCTGAGCTCCTGGGGGCCTGATCCAACTTCTCAGGAACCTACCAGCATGTCACCTCTCTCACAAGCCTGCCTGGGCTTCCAGCACCTTGCACACTGAGGCAGGGTCAATTTATATACCGGACATACAAAAATCCTAACTTTTTTTTACAGAAATACAGGGTCGACTTAAGCAATGTACCAACCTATACCCCATAAAATATAGCATGTGTTTTGAACCTATGCAACATTACTGACTTTGCTTAAGGTGTATTTGATTTCCACTGTCAGAGAGGGGACTCTTTTTCTAGTTTTGACATACATTGCAACCTCATAACAAACTCCTTTGGGACTGGGAGCAAGGTCCATGAAATAAAAGGGTGTTTGCTATAATAGAATTAGTCAACTTGTTGATGAAATGATGAAAAAAATGGTTCCTGCTGTTGGGCTTAGAAGCAGGGGTCTTGTAGCAGGCTACAGGTTTGCTGGGGCTGTAGCCCAGTATACCAGGCTGTAGCAGGCTGCATACCTCAGGGACTGCATAACAGTTGTGGACACTGACTTGGTGAATGCAAGCCAGCTAGGAGGAGTGGGTCAGCTGCTGAGAATAATTGGCTGGCCAAAGGAAGTTAAAAGCTTCCAGGGAGGGGAGCTAGAGAGAACAGGGGGAATTGAGTGAGAGCTCTCAGGCTGGTGGCTGCCAGGGTACTCTCTTGGGATCTGAAAAGACCCTAGCAGAGTAAGACAGAGAAAGAAGACTTGAAGGTTAGAGGCTGCAGTGCAGAGCTGGAGTGGTTCTCTTAGGGTTTTTGGGGGAGAGACCACAGGGTGAAAGAGAAGGCTACAAGGGTAGAAGCAGCAGAGTGAGTCGGAAAACCTGCTCGGGGTCTGGAAAAAGAGCCTAGGTTTGTGAGTTGATCTTTATTGACTAGGTACATGCTTGCTGGCTGATTACTGATTAGTGTCTTACGCTGTCATCTGTGGGGCAAGGATGCCTTCAACAATAAAGACGGTGTAAACTGAGCTAATCTGCTACAGGTCTGTTATAAACAGGGTGTGTTATGAAGTTTATACTACGGATGAAAATTAAGCACAAACACAGTGGTAAAACCCATACATGCTTCAGAGGTGTCACAAATTTGCAGAGGAAAAGGAAAGCTCTCCAGCTGATAAGGTTATGGTCAAATGCTGGTAATATGGTCACAAGGGAGATGGCCCAGTTCCATAACCCTTACTCACTGAGTGGTGCATAGTCATCAGCATATTCTTACTGAGGTCCTTGAACTCTTTCTTCTGTAAATTTACTGCAGATTCTCTCTGCCATGTGTCCTAGGCTCAATTAATTTTGTATACGAACCATATGTAATGGCTTGTGCCACATGAGTTCTGCCTGTGGTATCACTTATACTAGTGAATGACTTCAGTGTTACTACTTACAGGAGAAAGGAATAGTTTGTCCCAAGAGTTGTAGGCAAAATTGAATACCAGATAGGTTTAAGCACTTTTGCTGGATCAGCACCTTAATGGAGAGAGTATGGAAGAAAAAAATTCTTACATTTTATTTTATGACATGAATTTTTTTTGCGACCATTTTTGAATTTTAAATTAGATCATCAGCTTATTAATGTTGTACTTCCTTTTTCACTGTCTTTTGCTGCTTTCCTGCTTCTTAGATCTAAGTATCTGTTAGGTTAGTGTTAGTCTCAAATCAGTGGCATGTGTACTCGAGCCAACCAAGATGTGGACAAAAATGGTACATTTTTCTGTGTAAAAAATAATAACAAAATATGATTGCTCCTGTATGTGTGTGTATATAAAAACACACTTGCATCATCACAAACTTACCATACTCCCTAAAATACCTTGTATTGTTCTGCATAGGTTACCTCTTGAACTGGAAGCCTTGTAGCTACATTTTCAGTGCACTGTGCCTAGGCTAGTAACTCTCTCTCTTGCTTAGAGGAGCGAAATGTTAATTAGCTTACAAAATTGACTAAATGATTAAATTACTATTATTATTTGACCAGCTGTAATAGCGACAGATATTTGTGTAACCTTGATGTCCTTGATTTAAAAGACCTCTCACCATAAGATTTAGAGAACATAATGCATCCCAGTCTCAGGTTGATTTTTCTCTATAAGTGAGATAAGCCATGATGGCAATTGGCTGTATGAAAACTACTTCTTCATTAAAATTTATACTAATATAGAATATACATGAATATGAATATCAGTAAAATCATATACATTTGTACGCACTGGGCTGCTCTGCTTGATATGTCAGCTTTCTGTTTAGCTCTCTCAAGCAAAACCGCTTAGGCTGCTTACAGATATTAACAGCAACAAAAAAGGGTGCTTTACTTTAAATTCGTTGTGCCCTCACACTGAACCCAGTGCATGCCTGGAAGAGGCAGTGTATTAGTTGGATATGGCTTGCCCAATATCTGTATACATCGGGTGCCTTAGTGGGGTTTCTTGGCACTTCTGTCTACTAGCTGATTGAATCAGCTATTAAATAAAAGCACCAAGAAGCCCCTCTGAAGTGTCTGATCTATCCAGGTCCTGCGGAGCTAGACTGAACTAACCCACTGCTGCTTCTGGTAAAGTGTTTTTTTTAACATCTGTAAGCAGCCTCTGTGGCTGTTTCATTCTAGTATTTTCTGGCCAAAACCCCCCAGGGAAACCAATTTAAGGGATCATCTTGAAAATATAAATGCTTATAATGGGTATATTTGTCCATAACATAAAAAAAAAAATCTTATGTTAAATCTAATGCAAGAAGTACAGCCAGTAAGTATGGAAAAATCCAAAAAGCCAAGGTGTTTGTAAGGTTAGATACTGATTTTGGTTTACGTAAGGGAATATAGATGCAGAAATAAATGCACAGGAAAAGCATCCACAAAGCATATAGCATAAATTTGTTTTTATTTACTAATCTTTACAAAAGGTAAGTAGTGCACAAGTATACCAATGCTAACATTCCCTAAAAAAAAAATCTTTTTGAAATTTGTGTCTTTGGACGATATGGTCTTGCAAGCTATTGTGTGGTGGAAGTGAAAAGAAAAATCAGATTTTTCATCACATCCTTGTCTCCTCCAGTGGTCGATTCATAAAGTCTTGAATGGCCTGGTGTAGGGGCAACCATTTGTTAATGGAGGCTTTCAAAGCTGTAACCCATCTGAAAGAAAGGAGGACCAACAACTGCGAGTAAGTGTTTTATCTGCACTGGGAAAGAAGACTTCTTTTGTAAGGGGTCTTTCTAAATGTGTTGTACACTTACATCACTGTAAATAATAGTAGTAAGTAGATTGGAGAAGTCTGGGAAGGGAGGAACTTGACTGGAAAGGTAAAATCTGAACACAAGTTTTCAAGTCATTAAATAGCTTTGGTGTTTTTTTTGTCTACTGCACTAAAAACCGAACCCTACAATTCAGCCTTTTGCTCGTTCAGAACTCCCATTGACCTCACTGGCAATTTTGTTGCACTGAGATGACCAGTACCATAGACCTAAGTGATTTCATGGATTACTTTTTCTTTTTTAATTATAATAATCTGTGTTGGGAGTAATTCATCCTTGAGAAACACGAGTATCTACTTCTGATTTACTTTGGCCTTCCCTCATGAAAATTGCTAGAGTTCTTCCATTGAGTCTTACCACCCACTTGTTGTTATGAAAGGTACTTTAACAAGGTTCCTTCTTGAACCTCCACAATCCAGCCTTGCTATATCTTCGGCAATGACAATAACAGCATCAGTGACTCATATGCCAGCATATTGTGCTGCAGTATGACTAAAACTAGATTAAGAAGTATGAACAAGGAGATGACATCAGAGTGGAAAGTTATCATCAATTGTTCCAGAACTGTAGGATTTTTACTTGCTCAAAAAGTTTGGCAAGGAGAACAGAAAGAGCTCAAATTACCGTTTGTTTTCATTTACATTCTCTGCACATAGGTGGAAGGTTTTAAATTCTTCAGAGGGAGGTTTCATTTCAATTACAGATCTCCTGGAGCCCAGAGACTGTTCACTCACAGTATAACCCTGCAGGTAAATCCCACCTGGAGAAAGGGAAATGGCACAAACAGGGATTAGCAGGAATACTGTTTTTACTGCAAACTGTGAAGGTGCCACTACCTCTTCTGCTGTGCGGTGGGAAAGATTTTATAATGCCTTTTTAGAGAGAGGTAATTTTGATTTTATGCATCACAGAATCAAAATATGCATACTCAAATACATATGCATTATTTTTAATATAGGCAATGTAAGGAAAAATATCATTACCATGAGGTTTTACACAAAAATGAATGGAAAATGGCATTGTGGGAATCCATAATTTTATATATATATATATATATATATATATAGAGAGAGAGAGAGAGAGAGAGAGAGAGAGAGAGAGAGAGAGAGAGAGAGGTAGGTTTCAT